CCCCCCCCCCCCCCTAAAATATAACTAGTTTCATATGTGTCTATTCCCTTTAATAGAAATCTTTATACAAGATTTGTATACTACACTTATTGTCATTTTGGTCTATCTATATTTCAATCTTTCACGAGAGAAGGCGGTCCTTTTTTTTCCTTTGCCCCTCTAGAATTTGGAATTTTTTTTTAGATATATGCATAGTATTATGTAAGTGATGCAGATGAGTTAAGTTAAAAATCCAATTGGATGATTGGTTCATCTACGTCTTTATACGCAAACCCCAAATAAACCCGATTACTTAACCATATTCACAAAATATCAATCCCAACACTATTCCCAAATCGCATATCTCTGAGTATCTGAATATCGCGTCGCTTTTCGCGAAATATGTTTAGAAATTCCATTGTTGCTCATCTCTTGTCTCTACATTGATCATTTGTATTATTGTATACATATAACTCAAGTTCATTTTTTGGAGTATACGCATATTATAGATATTTTGGTTTTTTCAAATAATCCACGGTTCTTTAATTCCCTTTATTATTTGAAATGAATTTCAATAGTATAATTTTTAGCGTATTGTCAATTTGTCAAGTATCGAAAAAGGATTGAAATATATATTTTGTATTTACGAGATATCCAAATACAATTGGTACATTTAAAAAAAAGGGTATCTCTCCAGCAACGCGTACATAGTGAACAAAAATGTTACTCTAAATTCGAAAAATTCCGTTGCTAATTACTTTATAAATCCCGTTGTTGATCAGGCTCTAAGAGTTCAAAGATCCAAACTTGGAAAAATTAAACTTTCTTCTTTGCAGCACGATCCTAGATTGTGCTCGTTAATATGAGCCTTATGAGGCTTCGATACAAACCAACAAGATGAGATTCATCACTGTTATCTAAGAACCGGTTCATCTTCTACCTATCTACTCCTCTATCCATGCTACAGTGAATGTTACGATAATATTTACTGTAGCAAACATGAGATTGGACACTGCGAGGTTTTTGGAAAAAATACCGTAGCAACGAGAATACTATAGCAGAGATGAGATACTGTAGCAAATAATTTTTTTAAAGAATACTGTAGTAGTTAAAACCGGGGTTACTGTAACGAGAAAACAAATATGCCGTGTTCACACTAATTTGCATATATGCAGGAATTTATTCTACATTGTCAAATTTTTATTGTAATATATTATAACAGTTGCTTTGCCGCCCCTACAAAAAGTTCATGTCTTCGCCACTGCTGTCGTGGATGTAAGAAGCTAGGCCCATGGGCCACGGTAGTCTTCGTAGGCTATAGACTCACTATAGTTAAAATAGTCCTTGCTGTCTCAGACCACTGGCCCATAAAGCCCTGAAGCCCAATAAAAAGGATCAAAGTGCGATTTTTCTTTTTTTTTTCTAAGGGTCTGTTTGGATTCGTAGGGGGTGAAGGGAAGTTAAGGGAAACTGAGTGAAGGGAAGGGAAGAGAAAGGAAGGGAAGGGAAGATAATTCTCTTCCCCTTGGTTACACCCCAATTTGGGGTAACAATTTTTATACTATTAGGGGGTGAACCAAGATGAATGGAGGTGAATTAACTTCACCTCCTAAGTGTTCCCAAAGAAGATGAATGGAGGTGAATGGTTCCCTGACTTCCCTTCACCCTCATTCCCCTCGATCCAAACAAGCCCTACACAGTCGGGCTCTTAACCCCCGATAATGGCGACGCTAACAGCAACGTCGAGCTCAAAAACCTCAGCTCACATCGTCTCTCTTCTCTTGCCGAAACCCTAACACTTGCTCCTCTCAAGTTCTCCGCGATCGCCTAGGGTTAGGGTTAGCGTCCAGGGCGAAACTTCGATTTCGGGCGTAGAAACCCTAGCTCCGGTTGGCTACGGATTCTAGCGCTTTCGACGAGGTGTGTATGGATCATGATGCCATTACAGTTACTTAATTCCTGTCCTATCAAAATTGAATGTTGTTGGTGCATGATGTAGCACGAGTCTTAGTTCCGTCACAATAATCGGCCAGCTGAGACCGACCTTGTTAGATCGATCTATTCAAAGTCGGATTTTTTTTTTCATAGAAAATGCGGCATCGAGTCTTTCGAGGTGCTGCAAGCTGGTATCGCGGGATTGTCTCTTTTGCCTGAGCAAATGCCCGATGAGGGTATAGGCTGGACTGGCAATTTTTCTTTTATCAGTTGGTGATCTTCGTTATGAAATCTTTGTTTACGAAGTCTTTTATCAGTCAGTTGCATGTCGTTTAAAGGGGGTACATGTGGTAAGCGTAGTAGCAGGTCTAGATTTTTTTGAACGTAATGTGTGTGTGTGTGGTGTGGGGGGGGGGAGGGTGGAAGAGTAATCTACTTAATCTAAAAATAATATTATATAAAACAATACTACCGGATCCGTCAGAAGATCTTTTAAAGTCACTCTGTTGCTTCGCTTGGTACTAGGTTCTAACTTCCCAAGAATCTTTAAATTTGGAGTAGTTGACGGTTGCTTCATTGGCGACTTTCTCTTGAGAAATTTTTTCCATCACAAAACAAGTTAAGCAAGATAACAAATATCAAACTATTATTCCAATTAAGCAACAATTTTTTTTATTTTTACTTATATTTAGCTATCAATTCTCACAATTTTTACTTTCTACAGTGTCTAATTATTATATTACTCAGATTCTCAAAATAACTAACAACCCATTAACCATAATTTCTTTTTGCACTTTAATATATTTGAATTTTTAGTAAAACTGAAGAATTATTTGACAAACAAAATTAATTTATTGCGTATTCTTGATATATTAAAATTTTTGAATTGTATCCCTTGAAAAACACAACTCAAAAGAAAATGTTAACTCAGTTGATAATTGGTGAGAAGTTGAGCAGGGGAAAAGGACTAGGGGGCGGCAGGTCTGGATGGTGGTCCGGTTGA